TCCAATAGGGTCCTCACACCATCGGTGCTCGGGCCCTAAATATGTGACAGAGGAGCTGCTAGTGAAATAACGTGTTCATCCACTAGGTGGAGCCCCAGCAGATTCATCTGTATCAGCAGAGACACATTACTGAGAAAAATACTGAAATTAACACAAACAAAAATAAGACAAAAACACTGTTCAGAAGCCATTAAATAAAATCCATCAATATCACATTGTTAACTGGGCTATTGTTATAATGTTTGACCTCTTGACCTTGTTTTATTACCATATTATCATTCATAAACTCACAGAAACTTTAAATGTAACAAAACACAAATAAAAGTACATTTGAAACAAGAGTGAAACTTAAATAGTCACAGGGATAGACCATCATTAATCCAGGGGTTTCTTGAGCCATGGTGATTTTATTTTTTTGTATATGCAGGAATATAGGCCTACTGGCCATCAGGAGCACTGGCACACTCCCAGCGGATCGGTTGAGTAATGGACTGATCGGTGAAACAAGAGAGATTTTTTATCCACCTCATTTTTAACACGAGAGCGGTGCGGCGATTGTAGCTTGAGTGCTCGAGGCTACCGAACTACATCTGCTTCCATTTATTTTAACTGTACAGAAACTGTCCACTGCTGCTTGCTGCTGGGGTCCCCTCGGCAGAAATCGCGGACTGGGGGATTTCGCCCCAAAGCCCATGAATTAAGTAAAATGCTTTCTTCCCTTTAAATATGTTTAGTTCTAATTAATTTTAATTTTAATTGTTAATGAAATGATGAAATATCAGCATCAGTGTCTTACATAAATTAGCAGTTAACTTAAAAATTCTATTGTTATTATGGAGTTAATTTACTCCTACAGTTCAAAATCAAATAGCTCAAAAGGTTTTACTGTCAAATGTGCATTTCTATGTGGAAAAAATACAGTAGGGTAGAGTGGGGGAAAAGTTATCATAGTTTTAGTGACAATGACATAAATTATAAACAAAGTATGAAAAATGTCCAGAGCTTTCATGTTATTAGATTTTTAACAAAAAATAAATTTGTGTCAAGGGGGCGTTTTACATGAATGCCCCTCAGTTAAACAAAGCAATTTGCTTTAAACATTTAAAGCAAAATCAGAATACAGGCAGTTTTTGCTTAAAATTAAAAATAATATAATCAATAATTATGAATTACAAAATTGTAGTAGCCTATTTGAAACATTTTGTTAGCTGATGCTAACTGGCTAGCTAACAAGCTACCTGATGCTAACTTGAGGTCATTTTTAAATATAAAATCCAAATATTTTTATTCCTATGTTTGAAAAAAAAAAAAGTCATTCTGAAAATATAATTATATTTTTCTTAAATAACACGTACTCTCTATCAACAGGCCTTATTGTTCTCATATCACATATAACTGTGAAGTTCTACAAAACAACAAGCTTTAAAACACTTTTTTTCTTACTGCTGAAAATGAGATAATCTACTGTGAAATGCGTTTTCTCTCCGTCACAAAACCAGTGTAAGCTTCATGGTGAATACTTCTACATCACTCTCGTCAACTTAGTCCATAGTTACTATTAAAATGTATCTTGATTTTAT